TAGCATCATGGTTGCAGTTTCCGTTAAATGGCTTTGAGTTCAAAAATGACTCCACCTGTTTGGAGTAATTGATCCAATCCGCTTTATCTAGGAGGAATTTGGCCTGTTTTGCTGGAGTAGCAGAGGACGTTGAAAGTTTAAGATCGATTATGATTGGAAAGTGATCACTATTATGTAGATCATCAGAAATAGACCAGGACACCAAAGGAAGAAGTGATGGAGAGCAACATGTTAAATCAATATGTGAAAAAGTATGATGAGTTGAGAAGTGCGTTGGTTTTCTATCATTTAAAACGCAAAGGTTGCTTTGAAAAAACGCCTTTTCTAAAACAGTACCGCGAGTGTTGTTCACTGTTGAGCCCCAGATGGTATTCCAGCTGTTGAAATCGCCGCATATAATTAATGGGGGGGAAAGTACAGAGAATAAATTGTAGAGTTCTTGCTGAGAAAACGATTGCGAAGGTGGAATATAGAGCGAAAGCACTGTAAATTTTATATTGAACATTATTTGTATCGCTACGGCTTGTATATTTGAGCTTAAATTTATGCGTTTGTGAGGTATACTTGATTTTATAAAAACACCTACTCCTTGTTTGGAATATGAATTTTGATCAGCATTTGTGAAGTATCCAGTATATGATTTGGGTGGAATAGAATTAAAAGAGCTTCTACAATGGGTTTCTTGAAGCGATAAAAAGGTTGGATTAAAATCACTTATGAGTGTACGGAGTTCATCAAAATTATTAATAAGTCCCTTAATGTTCCATTGTAGAATTTTAAAAACTTTATTTAATTGTAATGACATGTAAGCAGAGAGGAGGGAGGGTTAAGTTGACATGTCAGCGTCTCCGCCGAGAAGGTCGCTATAGGAATTTTTCGTGAATGATTTATTCTTACCAGCAGAATAATCTGTACTTAGGTGATTTGGTACATTTAAAGCGCAACGAGTTAACGCACGTGAATAATTTGAAATTGAAGGTTGATTAATGGATGAAAGAATGGATTCATTACCACTTGTGATTTGTTGAGTAAAGTTGAGAGCTGGAGATTCTGGAGAATTTGGTATATTAGATTTTAGCAAATGTGGTTTTTTCAATATTATCTTTGGCGGGTGATGTAACTGGTTTCGCAATATAATTTTTGGTTAATGGTGGAACAGGTTTTTCATTGGAAGCAGTTGGAGTTGAAGTCTTACTAGGCTCGATTTGCGAGGCAACAGCAGCGTAGGTGTTACTTTTTCCAATTCCATGGGCTACAGATGGATTTCTTTCCCGGTATGTGCGTCGCGCTTCGCCCATGCTACAGTAATTTTCTGTTTTGATTTTTAGTATTTCACGCATCTGTGCAAAACGTGGGCATTGTTTGTCTAACGCTGAGTGTTGATCATTGCAATTTATACAGAAACTACGGGTACAGCTTTCAGTATATGGAGGATGACCACAGTTAGCACAAGATGCAGCACTAGTGCACCTTTTTGCCGTATGACCCAGGCGTTGGCAATTTTTACACCTCATAGGACTTGGGATGTACAGTTCTACTTTACATTTATACCACGCCACATCAACTGTTCGCGGTAATCGATAGCGATCAAAAGTTAAAATAATCCTTCCTGTAGGAGAACGTGTTTTTCCGTCATCATTCAGTTTGGTGAATTTATATACTTCAGTCACTCCTTGATTGTCCATTTCGCGGACAATTTCATCTTCCGGCACATGCTTTAAGCAAGGGGCATAAATTACGCCTCGAACCGAGTTAAGTTTCTCATGTAGTTTAGCTAAAATAGCACATAGATTAGCTAAAGATTTGGCCTTTATGAGCTTTTCGGGGGGGTTCTCAGCGAGGACCAGTAAATTCCCATCGCGTAGAATCGAGATGGAGTCGATGTATGTTGTAATGCTATCTAGAGCTTTTTTTATAGCAAAAGGGCTAATTTGGGAAATTGTTATTCTAGCATCGGTTGAAGAAATAACAACATATTTTTTATCAATAGGAGTTATATCACTGATTGGCAACACCGGAAAATCTGAATTTTTACTTTTTTTTCTTTGGGGGGATGTGTCAACTAATATATGAAATCTATTCGAGTTTTTTCTGGCGGCCCCGGGGCCATTATGCCTTATTGTTGTCTATTGTTTATTGTTTGTGAAATAACCACTCACTTGAAAAAGTTTGGGAAACTACTGAATAAAATGTCAGATGTTTTTAATATATTTAAAGGAAAACACGGACGGAAAAAGTTCAATAAATTTTAATAAGTTTGAAAACTTTTAAAAACGTATAACGCAATAAAGAAATTAAATAGAAGAATAAATTGCAAAAATTTTTTCACAAAGAGAAAAATATGACCACAGCGCTTGAACAGAGTTGCCTTTCTTGGTATTTGACAATATTTATACCAAAGTTATGTAAAATATTTTGTAGATAATTTAAAAATAACATACGTGTATTTTATTGAGTTTTGTTTTAAAATAACGATGAAAATAATAACAATAATAATAATATTAAGAAAATAGATATTGCTGTGCATTATTGCAAGACCGTAACGAATTATACTTCTTAAAATAAGTTATAAAAGTTATATTTGTGTGTGTGTGTGGGTGCAGTCTAAAGCCAAAGTCATAATCTTTTTTTACAGAACGTACGTCCTGTTTATTCTTCCGATAATGCTGCACATCATTTTTTTAACGGCTTTCAGATATAAGTGATTGCAGACTTCCACTCGCTCAATACATGCAATACACTCTCAATGAAGCAATTCGGGCAATTCGCAATCACATTTTGTAACAGCTGAATGACAAATTTAAAGAGATTGCGCGTGTTAAATCCAATCGCCTTTTCTATAAAACACATCCCATATCTCAATTCAACCCCTTTTCTGTGGGTTTTTTTAATTCCTGGGAAATCAAAATTCTTTGTAGACTCATGTGTGCTCACACCTATAAAAAAAATGATTTAAAAATGATTCGCGCTGTACCATGTGATGTTTGTGAGGTTTGCAATGTTGTCGAGTCTGCTGAGCATCTAATCTTCAGATGTCGCTCACTTTGAGAAAATAACTTGTACTGTATAAAGATAGCATATCTTCTCTTTAAACAAATTCATCATGTAATAAGGTGTAGTGATGAAACTTGACTGACTGGTTTTATAAAATCTACTAATACTTAAAAGTTATTTTAAAAGTTCGATAGCTTTTAGTTGTTTCTTGTTATTAAAGAAGCACTTTTGAATGTATCTGTTTATGGTTGGACAGTAATTATGAATGAATGCTGGAAGTTCTTAACTAGATTATCTAAATGCGCTTACCCTATTGTATTTCAATATATATCAAGGTTACTATATTTAGGTTATCGTACTTATTTAGTTAACCAGGTTATCACAAAAAACTATGTTATTAACATTACAAATGCTAAACTATAGATTATAATTAGAATTACATCAAAGGAGTTCATATTGAACTTGGCTTAAACGACGCAAAGCTTTGAATTTCAATGAGTACGTAATGAATTAGAGATAATGTAAGTAAAATAATGAGTATCAATAATAAATACTACAAAAGGAAACAACGCCCGTTGCAATGAAGTGATAAAAAAAGGCTAAATTTAAAATATTGTTCATGGCTCGCTCTTCGGACCCATAAATCAATTATTTGACGTATTTATTAACCGGAAGAAATAGTGTCCACTGAATAGTTGTGCATAGTGAGTGGTTAGCATATTTCGGCATAACTTATTGTCGATACTTTTCGGTGCGAGTATGTTTTTTGGGTCCGCTAATAAAATATATTGCGGCAGCTGTATGAAATCGAAAATGTATAGGCATTTAGCCTCTTTGTGTTGCACTTGGATATCGCAACGAATCAAACAAAACTATTGTTGTTTATGATGCACTTCTCCAGAGTAATTAAGTTATGTACCCATTTCTCTTCTGGAGATCTTTATTATCTATTACACTATATAATGATTAATAAAATAATTTACCTGTGCTATCAGTCGTTCCAGTTCTTCATTTTCTGTTACTAGTTTTTGGTAACGTTCTTCATCCTCTTTCGATATACCCGAATCCGGATTATATTTTGACTCAGCCTTATCCTTAGGATGACGTATTATCTCAATAACCTAAACAAAAAAATTGTCATTACTTTTTCTAAAAATTTCATAAACTTTTGAAATAAAAAATCGATAGGAAACCCCTTTCGCGTATGTAGTCCCTTATATAGAGTCATCCAACAAGAGTTTGTCGTTTTTTCAAATTGTAGTAAAAACTAAATGATAAAAGATACCAACAATATTTTTTTTTTACTTTAAGTATCGATTCGTCCCATTTTTCTTCAAAAATAAATTTATATATATGAGCGACTTAAGTTTTGTGGGTAATTTTGGCCCACTTTTCGTATGAATCTACTTTTATTTCCGTGGATAAGGTCACTAAGAGTTAATGATTTATTGGAGTAAGCTGACTCTCCAGCATACCTCGAAAGTAAAAAGTTCAATGAAGTAGTATCACGTCTTCTTATGACAAGCTCACATACGTATTTTTGGAGACGACATGGTCGCTGAACTTTTCCCGCAATAAATAGGTGGTGCCACGAGGTATACAGTGGGTCGCAACAATTTATTAAAAAAATATATCGTATCAATCATCATATCAATAATTTTATTTCTGTAGCCTTTCCCATTGATGGTGAGTGCAATTTTCATGACATTTTCAGGCCATAAACGGCACCCGTAAGCGATCTAAGAACGTCAGATGACTTTTCTTTAGATCACCGATGCAATGATCGTTCTTTATGAAGACATTTAATCAAATATGGACTTCATCTTGCTAATACGAAACGTAATCGTGGGTTCATTGTTTTCCTAATAAGTTTTAACAATTTCTGTATGAATGTGTTGTGTTCCACAAAAAATAGACATATCCAAACAATACTTTGAAAAAAGCTCTAGTTGCTCATATTCTCAAACAATTTCCTCTGGTTTTATATCATAAGATAACGGTTTTCACGGGTTTCAAATCATAACTTGCTGATCCCGTATCTATCATCCATATGCTAATTGCATAGTCAAATATGCAAATAACAGCACTATAGAAGAACTATCCGCGCCTTCCATCGCACAAAATGTAATTACTATGCTAACTCAAGAGATAATGCATTACGAATCGTCTATGTTCCTATTGATTCTAAAACTAGAGGAGTCATTTATCACTACATAGGATAGTTGGCAAGCTGTACCGGCGTAGTTCTTAGAATTCTTAACACCAAAAATTCGTGACGCCCTACCTAAAAAAAGAGGGGAAAAAAAAAACAATCGGTACGTATAAAGGGCAGGCGAACGTTGAAATGGATTTACGAACTTTGGTTTGAAATGCTTAACTTAATATAACATTCATTCTTGTAGTTACTTAATTAAATTTAATTAAAGAGTTTAAAGCGTATTTAAAAAGCTACATATTAACACATTTTTAATATTATGCCTTACCTTTGGCACAAATATTAATAGCATGCTTAAAAAGCAACAGAATATCACAGCTAACGCCACGAAAACGAAAGATGCGTCCTGTTGCGACGCTATAACCATACCCACTGGGGCTGTAATTAAGCATAGTACTACCACATTGTATATGCTCATGCCAACGTAACGCGAATCATTAATTTGTTTCACTTTAATTGAGCGCGTTTCATAAGCTAAAAAAAGGCCAAACACTAATATTAGTCCTTTATAACCATAGACAAGGCCTGAAAAGAATGAAAAAAAAGTAAAGATATATTTTAAAAATAAATAAGACATTTATATTATTAATATATTGTGTTCGTAATTCTTATAAATAACTTACCCAACCAAACGGAATTTTGTGAACTCTCACAATGTTCCAACTCTGGACGTATTTTGATATCATCAGTCGTTGATATAGGATCCTCCAAAGGAAAAGTCTCTAATATACGTTGCAAAGGATCAATAATTTGCCAGGCTGTCAATATAATCAGATCTACAGACAAAAGGCCCGTAACCATGGTGTAAAGCTTCCAGGGTTCGACTTTTTTCTGGAAACGAAATACTTTATTACTTAACAAAAAAAAAAATAACATGATGAAAAAATAACATATGTTTTAAAACTTTAATTAATTATTTTCGCCTTGTAATGCGTAAATATCCTAATCTTATTATAATATGTTGTATGCCATGACTTTGAGATATTTTGCTATGGTTAATAAGTCGCTAATGAGATACGTAAAGCATTTCTGCCGCACATAAATATGACTCGGATAATCATGATAAGATCTTAAAATCGTTCTTTTCCGTGATCCCATATCAAATTTAGATGATGGCTTAATTGATTTAAGTGCTGCATTAATTCGCTGACAGTCAATGAAAATGGAAAAATTGATCTAATAATGTTTTACATTATTAAGATTTGAAAATATTTTTGTAAAATTTAAGTTTATCAAAAGAATTTTAATGCTGTCAAAATATACAGCGACTTATTGATTTTATATCAAAAACAGACCAACTTTCGAGGCTACTTCTGAAGAGATTTCTTTCTTTTGGGTTTTCTCTTTCATCGGTCGATAGCTGAGTGGCTAATAGCCACCTAATCATTAAATAGAAGGAAAAACTTGTAGTGAGCATAAGATAACACATAATTCTAATGTTCTGCTAATCCTCTTTTATAATATTGGATCAAGTTATATTGTGGGCCCCGTCATGTCTTTTGGCATATTACGACCTTTTTCACTTTATATTCGATTCAATTATAGCAGTGGTTGTCGGCGACATCTCCATACGATTTCTCTCCCGTTGAGAAGCTTGTAACACGGTAGGAATTCTTGATCCTATATATTATGGAATCGTTCATACTCCACTTCACTGGCAACGTTGACAGCCGGACATTAGTCACAATTTTCTTCCGTCTGTGTTATCATCATGTATTCATTTTCTTCAGCCACAATAAGATTTAAAAGAAATTCTTCCTAATTTGCTTTAGGCCAGCTGCTAATATATGAAATATTTTTTTTATATCCTTCCATCTAATTTCGTTACTTATAAAATATTCTCGCTTCTATTAAACACTTGGAAACGGTTACCTGCTGAACTCTAAATAATTTTGCAAGATCTTCTTGTGTTTTTCATGGGTCTTCCAGAGCTTCACTTTTTACTTTTTTGTTTCACTTTTTTTGAAGTATTCCCAGTTATTTTTTTTTTAATCGTAACACACTGTTTTCATATACTTTCATTGAGATGTAACATCACGATAGAAAGTATTATAAAAGGTTTTACGGGGTATCTTTCTGTAACCTAATGAGCCAAAAATAACGATTGCTCCTAACCCTTAAGTACCGTTTGCTCTTCGGCGAGATCATATATTCTGTGACGTAAAGCTTATAGCACTGTACATGATATATTGTCCAAAATGATATAAAGTCATTAAAAAATCAATAATCTTCATTTTGTGTTATTATGCTTAGTTTGAAATACATTACCGCATTTTTGAAGCATTGAAATCGAACAGGTTATATATTAGGTGTTCTAAAAATATTGCTTTTTTTTACAGTGCATTTCCATTACGGTTGATATGAGTGTTCTCGTGCAGTCTCAGAATTATTTAGATGAATTGGCTGCAGTTAACATGGGCTTTGATAATTCAATTAAACTGGGCATCTATAGATCATCTAGTAATAATGGGACAGTGTCTTAAATATGGTTAGAAAAGCAGATGGCTCATGGTACCCCTGCGATAGCGATGTTAATACTATAATTCGTTATCCTAAACCGTGCTTCCAAGACTGCATGATTCTGCACTGAAAAACGATTTTTTCTAAAATTTGTCTGCGAGGAGTGGATCAGACTTTGTTGTCGCCTATATGGATGACTTAAGTGTAGGTTTAGCATCGTTAGAAGAACACAAACAACATTTAAAAAACGTGTTTCAACGCTTATTTCAACATAATCTCTTTGGTCAGCTCCAACTGTTTATTCTGGACCACAAAATATGTCCTTCTCTCAGCCTAAAGCATTAAACCACTTCCAGCACAGGTGGAAGCATTTAAAAACTATCCGCAGCTAACAAAAGTAACGCTTCTTAGCAATGATTCATTCTTATTAATTGAGAGCGGCGCAGTACAAGTATTGTCACTGTCTTTAGTTTTTCCTTCAAAGAAGTCCAACGATGCGCGAACACTTTATAACACTTTACAAGCACTTTATAATACGTACAATCGGAAGCGGACAACAATCCATTTAGTAGTTCAGCACTTTAGATCATTCTAGACGATGGAAACTGGCATATGTATATGGGTAAAACATCATTGATATTTGTTTTCAGCCGAAAACTAGAGAAGGCTACAGAGCGTCAAGACCGATATCTTAAGTTTATATCGCAAATTCCCACAGGTATTCGTTATGGTAATCGAAAAGAAAATATACTGCAGATCTTATGTCACTTATTACTCAAGTAGAAACGTTCAATACAGAGGAGTTGCCAGATGACCAACAATGTGACGAAGAACTTCAAACACTATTAAACCAAAGCGACTCCAGCTCATTGCATTATAAACTTTCTACTCTCCCCGCGAATATTAGAAAACTTTACTGTGATTTATTAACTAACATCGTAAGACTCTTTATTACACAAAGATTTCGGAAATCAACCATTGCAGAGACTCAGTCCTTCACATCTTCGTCCCCGTTCCGCAGCTAAATTGATGACGCAGCGATTCATATAGCTGGAACTACTTAAAGAGACGAAATCACCACAAAACATGACACCCGATCAAGGCTGACAGTTTTAATCAACAATTTTCGAAGAATTAACATCGTACTTACGCTTTAAACATAAACTCGCATCACTCCGTACCACCCACCATCAAATATTTGTAAGCTCACATAGAACGATTCAGACCGCAATAATGTGCTAGCAAACAGAAAATTGGATAGAAGAACTAAATATATCACAAGCGGAATTACTACAATAATAAGGATTCTAGCTGAATGCTTCATAGATAACGAAGATACCAAATGTCAGAGCGACTTGCTTTATTATTACGGAATTATGTAAACACAGGAGTAATCTTCGACCTTCACAAACATGTTGATAACCCAATAAGATATTCCTTGATCGACTTAAACCAGATAGGCTACCTCCTGAAAATGATACAACAGTACAAGCTCCACCCATACCAACCTCTAGTTTCGGACATCGTTTGATTTTCCCTAGCTCCTAACTGTAAATAAAAACCAGTGATTATCAGAGAGGACAGTTTTGTGACAATCACAACCGTATTTTGACTTATCGAAATATTATTATGACTCAAGAAACAACGTTTCGAAGCTGGTGGCGATGATGGCGTCTTGCCTTTTACTAAATGCAGCCAACGACAACAATTAATTATCGAAAGAAAGGTGCAGTTCGGTCGGAAGCGGGTTTAATAAAGCCCACATATTTATAAGGCAGCAGGTTCGGATAAAGTCGAGTAAAGTATAATTTTTCTCCGTTCTTCAGTTTTATGGTAAATAAAAGTTTTACCCCGAGGTAAAACCACAGAAAAACTTTTTTTATTGCTTTTAAACATTTTAAGTGATCTGTTAGCTTTAAGGTTTTTTTTTTTCGTTAAAGAATGGTGCAGTGAAGAAATCTAACAAACATCTAATAACTTACACCTTTTTGTATTTTAATTGAAAATTGGGTTTAAATCTTTTTTATGATGAGTTATAATAAGCTCGACACCAATATGCACCAAAAAAGGAGAAAAAAACAAAAACAAGCGTAACATATCAAGTCATATGTTAGTGACATTTTCAGTTCATTTTTGATAAAACAACGTTAAAAAATTTTTTTGGTTTTATTTATTCAAAATTTATAGCACCATTCTATTATAAGATAAACAATAATTTTCATAATACTGAATAGAGCTGCGATTAAGAGCGTCAAACGGCTGATGGTAAAATATATTCAAAATGACACATCAACAAAAACAACAAATATAAATATTTTACCTTGGGATCTGTTTTCGCTTTTGTGGTAAAACGATGTACACGCCAAACTTTACTAAACATAGCACCATAAGCTAAAGTAAAACCGGTGGATAATAGCCAAGCACGTGCTTGACAAATCTGGAAAGAGCATACGGTTTTTATTTTGTTGGTTAATAACGGTTTAGTGTCATTGAAAAATATTTAAATCCATTTGTTATGAATTAGAATTATTTAAAATAATCATATTCTTAATGACTTATTTATTTTTTCTTTATCCTTTATTAACTCACTTTGGGGTATTCGTCTGAACTAACAAACCGTCCGTCGATACCCAATAGTATGACGGAAATTAAGCAAATTATTACACCAAATAACATAATTGTATTACATACAGGATGTGACGATTGTATGACTCTGGAAAGAGAAAAAGAAGGATTATTTAATTTGTATCCAGTTTGTCCGCTAAAATTTAAGTCAATCGAAGCTAAACAAGAAAAAAGAAAACCAGCAGTAGTAATTTATTTACTAAAAGAACGAATAGTGCATTGCGTCCCTGCATCGGACAGATTAATATATACCGAGTCTTCTAAACATTGGAAACTTCAAGGCAAAATATGATCTGACATCTAATATATAAAATTACTCAATGTACAGCAAGTTTTCGAATTCTTATACTCTGGCTAAAAGTATTGTGTCGTAGAAACGAATGAACTTCATACGAATGTTTACCTTTTATCTAAAATTTTTTTTACTCTGATATTAAGGGCAGTGCACACTGTGTTGACTGTGCAAGTGGATGTAAATGACTTATATTCTGATAGGTTTTTGAAAGACTATTCTCGTGACATTTCGCTCTCTATGTACAAGCAAGAAGATGCTCCAAATTATGTCTTCAGAAATCTATTTGCTGAAAAACCCCAAATAATAGAGGTATCTCTTACTGATAACCCTAAATCATACGGTCTGCCATCTGTCTGCGCCGTGGTAGCTGTTCCAGGAGAGGGTTTCTGTTTAATCACTTCTGTAAATACTTTACGAAAGTGCTTCAACTTTCATAACCGAAGCCAGAGCTATCCTTCACACTACAATCCTTGCGCATAAAGATAAAATCAAAACTGTCATTGTCATTCATAGTCCGTCTGTATTACAAAGTATTCGAAATATCTCGACTTCGAGCTGGAACACCATCAAAAAATTAAGAAATATCATAACATACGACGATAAAATTAAAATGCTTTGGGTATTCAGGCATATCGGTTAATCGGGTAATGAGAAAGCTGACCGAGCAATCTGCTGATTCTGTACTTCCAAATATGGACGATACCATGTGAACTTAGGCCTTCAAAGACAAGGTTAGAGAGAAAATTATGGAAGAAAATCTACAATACTATCATCAGCACTACTCCCCTATTAACCCTCAACTAATTCCACCAGTACATCCAACAAATACTAAGAAAATCAAGATCAAAACACTTTCGAGAATTTGTTTGGCCACACAATTGCAACACCAATGTATCTTAAAGAAGTCTCCTTCTTCAATCTGCAACTGTGGACACATTCTCATTTTAAAGCACACTCTTTGTCACTGCGTTAACTTTTCCTTTATTAGAAAAATTGGATGTGAAACAACAAATCCTATGAACATCCTGAAATCGGCTGTAGAGCGTAATGTCAATGCAGTATATTACTTTATTGAAACTAGTAGGCCCAATATCCTCGAAATGGTACTTGTAGTCGATTGCAGGTGTGAATTAGGGAACATATTGTGGTTTCCATTGCTGATTGATTGAAAATATGAAGAAATCTTTGCTTGCAATGCACAAGAACGTCGTCGTGCGGATGTTTCAATGGAACGTTCGATGATATATTGCAACAATGGGGATGGAAGATGTATTCATTACAGACAAAACAGTCAAGCGAAAGAGTGAGGTTACCCTTAAAGAAAGCGAGAAGAGCTCTATCTGCTGGCAAGGTTTATCGATTGATGGGAATGAGTGATTGTGGCCAACATGTTTGAGTGATAAATTCACATTAGATGGGTTTGGCGTAAAAGGCGGTGTCTTTTCTTTAAGAAAATGCAGTTCACATTGCACAACCTTTAAAATAAAAGAGGTAAAGTTAGAATTCCTTCTTTACGATTCTATTCGCTCGATTTGCATTCCACGGTATTTTCATTTCGCAAACCTAGAAGAATAATTCGAAAATAAGATAAGTTTGATTTTTTAGCACGAGGCCTCTCGGCTGCATGTTGTAATAACTATCCAGAATAGATTGATGGCACCTAATTTGAATATACCGCTATCTATATCATTTTCACCGCACAAAGTTTATTATTTGAGAAATTCTAAAGCAGGTTAAATTCGGTTTTTTCCTTCAACTTTCGTCATTTTATTACACATATAACGATATCGTATTATTCGCTCATTCAGAACGGATATAAATATATATATATATATATATATATATCAATAACATAGAGATCTAGGATGGCCATCTACGAATCCATATGAGATTAAGATGGTATCTTCGAACAAAAGTTTTAAAAAAATTTCATGATTTTCTGACCATTACTGTATGGGTTACAGTTATTTTAGAGATGCTACTTTCTCGTTTTTGTAAATCAATAGAAAAATCAGAATTTCCTGTAATGGTATTCTATCTAAAAGTCACATGGATCCGTGGATATTAGTATCGTCTAAATTCCATCTTACGAACTTATAGAATGATGTGTTATGTATATGGAGAAATCTGCGTTATGTGTGTGTAAGTCCGCCTATATACAATTTTTAAGTTTGGACTACGGCATTGGACTAAGAAAATATGAACTCTTTTGCTGTCGATTTTTGTAATCGACGGGAGCCTGAAACAAATAGACGCAGAACTTCATTGTAACCGTTAATCTCTTTTTACATGTTTTATTAAATCAGCAATGGCCGTGACTGCCGAAACTCTGACAATAAGCATATTATACGTATAATCCAAGCATTTGAACCACAAATGCGAGGAGCGAATGTAAGAATGATTGAATCAAATTCATTTTCAATAGCGTTTATCCGCGGGCCAAAACACGTTAGTGTGCTAAATTTCATTGAAAATATCTCGAAATTGCAACCTGTAGTTCGAAGACAATCCATAATATAAAAAAAAAACTGAAAAATTGTTGTCGAAAGTTAAGAATTGAAGTGCCTTTGTATTCTAAATTTGTCTATGACTTCATTCATTATTTTAAAGCATGGTTTGGGTATTAAAACCGTTCAAATATCTTGAAACATAAAAAAGGAAAGCGGGGCATCTTTTTGTTTTCGAGAAACTCAACAAATCAAAAGAAAGGTAAAACAAATTGTTACGTGTAAAAAGTTTTCAAAATGCAAAATAAGATATTATAAGCGGAATATGCAACGATCAAGTTAATATGTATGTTTGGGAGAAAACTATAGCATCCAGAAGACCACAAGAAACAGCATTTCGATGTTTAAATCATTCGCAGAATACGACAGCCTAAAAAAAAGTTATAGGTTATGGTGATTTGCTTACTGGCCAAAATAGGAACATGAAGCTGCTATTAAAGTGGGTGAAAGTTGTTCAGGCCAGGGATAATAAAATAAATATCATTGATCATAAATATTTACCGTTATGACAATCATTTTTACCAAACGTACACGATTTTGAGATAGCGGAAATACAGTTTAGAAAAACAATTTGTTATATGTTGTGCAAGGAATTACCATGTTTTTGTCAAGTGAACAAGTATTTATATAAAATTAAATATTATTGCGATTTTACTATCAAAAAACGGTTGACATAACAGAAGCATATTATTCACTCATTTAATTTTGAAGATGAGGCAAGTCAACTTAGATATAAAAACTTTTTAGCCATCACTATTCGATAACAAACCAGCATTATTTAACGCCACAAAATACATAAAATATCTCGAATTACTGCTTGCCACAGTACAACGGCAACTCTGTACAAACGCTGTGGTCATATCTTTCTCTTCGTGCAAAAAATTTTGCAATTTCTTCTTTATTGCTTTATACGTTTTTAAAAGTGTTCAAATTTATTAAAATATATTGAACTTTTTGTGTGTTTATTGCTAAAACTGATCATCGCGATTACCGTACGTGGTTCCATTAAATCCGAAAAAGAAAAGTTGAAAACATTTGACGTTATCCTCAGTAGTTTCCCAAACCTTTTCAAGTGAGTGGTTATTTTACAAATAAGTAAATAATAGACAACCATAAGGCATAATGGCCCCGGGGTCGCCGGATAAAAACTCGAATAGATTTCATCAATTAGCAGACGTATCCCCCCAAAGAAAAAAAATTAAAAATTCCGACCTTCCGGTGTTGCCAACCAGTGGCATCGTTCCTATCGACAAAAAATATGTTGTGATTTCTCCAACTGATCCCTCTATAACAATTTCGCAATTCAGCCCTTTCGCTATTAAAAAAGCACTAGATTGCATTACAACGCATATAGACTCTACATCGATTTTACGCGATGGAAATTTACTTGTCCTGGCTGGGAAACCGAGTCCAACCGAAAAGCTCACAAAGTCTAAATCATTAGCCAATTTGTGCGCTATTTCCGCTAAACTGCATGAGAAACTGAACTCGGTTAAAGGCGTAGTATATGCCCCATGCTTAAAGCATGTGCCGGAAGATGAAATTGTGCGTCAAGGAGTGACTTAAGTCTACAAATTCGCCAACTTAAATGACGATAGAAAAACCCGCTCTACTACAGGAAGAATTATTTTGTCTTTTGACCGCTATCGTCTACCAGCAACGATTGATGGAGCTTGGTACAAATGTAAAGTAGAACCCTACACTCCAAATCCCATGAGGTGTAAAAACTACCAACGCCTGGGCCATACGCAAAAAGATGCACCAGTCCTCCATCCTGTGCTAACTGTGGTCTTCCTCCACATCCTGAAAACTGTACGCGTAGCTTCTGCTTAAATTGCAACGATCAACACTCTGCATTAGACAAACAATGCCCACGTTTTATACAAATGCGTGTAATCCCAAAAATCAAAACAGAAAATTACTGTAGCATGGGTGAAGCGCGACGCAAATACCGCGAAAGAAATCCATCTGTAGCCCAAGGAATGGGAAAAAGTAATACCTACGTTGCTGTTGCCTCGCAAATCGAGCATAGTAAGCCTTTAACTCCAGCTCCTTCTAATGAAAAACGTGTTCCACCATTAACCAAAAATTATATCGCGAAATCAGTTACACCACCCGCCAAAGATAATATTGAAAAAACCAAAGCAACACCAAATATTGAAAAAATTAAAAGAAACGACATATATGCTAAAATCTAGTATACTGAATTCTCCAGAATCTCCAGCTCTTAACTTTACTCAACAAATTACAAGTGGTAATGAATGCATTCTTTCATCCATTAATCAA